AGGTGACGCCGTGAGGCAAGGGAAGCCGGACAGCCTGCTGACGCTCCTGCAACCCGGCCACCGGGAGTTTTCAGGGAAGCGTAAGAGGGGAAGGAAAAAAGTATCTTTACGGTGACTGAACGCCCTCTTCTAAGTCAGCTTTTAAGACAGCATCAAGTGACAAACCCAGCGCTTTTACTGGAGGGTTTTACTGATCGTAGACTGAACGGAAAGGTAAGACTGCACACAGGCGGGGCCAGGACGGCTGGACTTTTGCTGGAATATTTTTCCTGTACCCTACCTGGAAAGAAATCCTTTCCAATTTGTTTTACAGCTTCCCTCATCCCTCCCAGCTCTCCCCCATGGCAAACGAACAGGGATCAGAAGCTGCCGTCGGGTAAGCCGGGCTCCGCGCTTCCCTCCCCGTTTTGCCACTGTCCAAAACAGCGCGGCCAGAGCGCGGAGGGGCGACGGCCATCTCCCCCGCCTCTCCGGCAGCACTGCTCTCACCCTCCTCCTCGGCTACAGAAGGCTTTGTTACCGACTCGGAAATCAGCCGGTTTTATCTGCTGGGTAAGAAACTCTGGACCAAGAGCGAGGCGCGGGAGCCCGGGGTGCGCGGTCTGGAAAGCTGCATTCCCCGGCCTACCGGGGGAAGCCTCCTACCACCGACGAGGACGGCAATGGGCGTATTTGGCGACCGAGACTTTGACGTTCACAGTCGGGTTACTGTTTACACTAGCTCTTTTGAAGAAGCAACCAAATTGTTAAAAGGGTTGAGTCTTGAAAGGGCGCTGCTGCCTGCAATGCACACCGAAGGCGACGCCGCTGAGTAAGCAGCGTTCGTTTTCCAGAGCAGGCTCCGAACCGCGCTCTACGTATTCCTGACTTACAGTGGGACACAATGATCTCCGCGTCAGAAAACTAAGTCAACAGACTAATACGAAAAACAGAGAAAATAAGAATTTTATTTTACTAAATGCAAAATTGTTGTTTTTTGTTGGTTTTTTTTTTTTTTTTTAATTAAAATGCCACCGCTGATCTGTCTCTGTTACAGTCAGAACCATTAAGTATTTCCTGTAGCTGACCAAATACTTTTCTCGACCTGGTATGATAAGTTAGCTCCTGAAGCCCTACTACGGCACCCGAATAAGAGCTGGTCTGTCAATGTTATTTAGCCGCACACATTCAGTTGTGACCTGCAGATTTCCTAATCTTTGAATTGCTTAGTTACAGTCACAGATCCAGGCAGGGGCTCTGGCCAAACTTTGGGAAATGCGCTGGTTTGCAGAACATCAGCGTACAATATGCAAGAACTCCTCATGGAGGTGACATTAATTTCAAAATTAAATAAATCGGGTGCCCCTCTAAAATACATTACAAAACATAAAAATTTCCACAGTGCTTTGCTCTCAGATGATATCTTTAACTTCATATTTATTACTAGAAAAAACTAACTTTGCTGATAGCATCATTTGTGAAAATCCATTTTGGATTTAAATAACAGTATATTGGCAATAATTCTCAATTCAATTAGATCAAAGGCATTTCTCAAACAAATGAGCCCTTCATATTGATCAGAGAACAATCAAATCAGCCCTGAAAACCTTCTTCTGAAGAACAGATACAATGCAAATACAATGAAAATAAGCTAAATATATATGCTATAAATAACAAGCACAAAACCTACCAGAGCTTAGATTCTGAAAGCAAATTAGGCGGAAAGAAATAACCGAGATAGGTAGATAATTATTATAATTGAATTTACAATTTCCATTAGAAAGTTGGATAAATTTAGTACATGTTCGCTTATATAGTAAGCTACCAATGAATATATTAAGTAGGACATGCAAGGCTCGTCAGGGCAACATTACTGAGAAATCAGCACGGCAAAACGTGCCAATATGGAACTGGTGCGCCTCCAGATCTAGCCATCACTCGAAGCGTCGAGACGTGCTCCCTTCTATTCCAGCGCAGGAAGAAATTCACGTGCGCTTCCTCTCTCCCTTTAATATCACACTCAGAAAATCGTTACTAGGCTTATGAAGCTCATTTTGCTGCTGCTACTCCTTAGAAACTCTGAAATACAAAACCGAGTTTCCCCTGATTTTACAGTTAATTAAGAGCCGCTTTGCAGAGTTCATATTTATGTTTCAGTGATTAATTGTGAACCCCCTGAATCTTGAAGCATGCTTTTCCTTTCTGACATAATGACAGAGACTGCTGGTTCACATTCAAACCTATTTTGGGCAGAATCCTTGACTCATGGGTACCTCAGGGGAAGCAGAAACCTTATGTAAAAGGCACAGCTGCAACACAGAAGCAATCTGTTCCTTCTGCTTCAGACATGAAATTGCTCCCATTTGTTTCTTTTTTCCCAATACAGAAAAGAATCAGGTTTAAAAACATTTGTCTCCATTCTCTTAGAGATATAAACTACACTACACTATACACGTTCAGGATGAAGTAAAAATCAATTAAAGAAGATGAAAAAATACATCTTTTTTTTTACATTGTGAAGAAGCAAATTAAGATGCAAGAAATTTTTTTAATCAGAAAATACTATTGAAAAAACACCAATAAAAAATCAAACACAGTTTGATTCCCAAAAATGGTCCTTGTGACACTGTAAGGGATTTATTCCTGTGTAACTACTTTTTTTTTGAAATCAAATGGTTATCAATAGGGCAAACTATGGAGACCCAACCAAAACCACTTTAGTTTGAAGGATTAAGAGATCCGATTAGGTCAGAAGCAGTAGAAAGGAGACATATATAGGCTATCAACCACACAGGGCTGCGCAAACTCTTCCAAACACTGAGCTCTGAATTGCTCCTTCTCAGGTATGCCGTCGTTTTTCGCGCAGAGCCGAGGCGCCCGACAAGCAGCAACTTGCTTATTTGATACCTGCAATGGAAAATTCTTGGGAGGAATGACGCTCCCGCTCTGAGGAGAGATCAAACCAACTCCACTAATCTGAACCAAATTACAGACGGTTTAAGCTAATCGGCTGTTTGACCCAGGGAGCGCGGGGGGGGCTCTGCCCCGGCGCGCGCCAGCTGGGCTCGCGCACGGCTAACGCGGTTTTCCCGCTGCCGAACGGCATTTCTGCATGCGGAGGCTGTTAGTATTTCAGACCGTGCTGCCTAACTCGAATTTCAAAAGCACCGTTTTTCTGCTCTGGTCCGTACGTGAACAGATCTCAAGAATCATGAGCAATACCCCCAGAATTAGGTTTAGGCTCCAGACTGAAACCGTGTTCCTTACTGAAGGTCCAGGCCCTGCGAGAGCAATAAACAAACGCATTTACCGACCAGCCAGAGCAAAACCCGCAGCCTGATCCCGCGTAGCGCCGAGGGCAGCGACACGGCCCTTTCCGAAACAAAACCAAGGGTGACACATCACGGGCTATACATCTCCGGGCAGACAGCAGCAAAACGCATTTTTCACTCAAAATCCTGTAATAAGCAGTGGCAGTCCATTGATTTTGAGACTTACTAAAAAGTGACTGTGAGCTTTTTAGAAACTGCTCGGTGAGAGCTTAACCCACCAAACCCCAGCCCAGCTGAGGCGGGAGGCGGTGGAGACTTTGTGCTGGAGGAAGGGCTTAGCAATGCTTCCCGTCTTCAACAGGCAAAAATAATGATCAGATGGTAAACAAAACCCAAATTTCATTTTTTTTTTCTTTTGGGCACATTATTATACTTCTACGCATTACAGAAAGCCTTTGGTCAGAGTCTGATTTTTTAAAATCTGGAGTATCACACAGAAGAGGAGACATTTATTTCCATTTGTGAGCAAATGCAGCCCACAAAGTCAACTTTCTAATTTAATACGACGGATTAATAATATGCTTTTTCCAATTTCACTTTTTCCAACATCTCCACGCGATAATGCTGCTAACAACTCTCCTGTAAGCGAGCTGATGGCAAGCCTTGAGCCACCGAAGCAGCGGCGGGGGTCCTGGAGAGGTGGCACCACGATGCTCAGAGGCTTCCCCACCAGCCCCAGCTCTGGGGGAGCGGAGCCAGCAGACTGCGTGAGGTACTTTGGGAAGGAAGGGGATGTCTCCCAAGAAGAAAAGACTGTGAACCCTGAAGTAGTGCTCCTAATTACCTGCTGGCTCCGTAGTTTCAGCTGGGTTTCTAGCCTCAACTCTTTTTCTCTGTCCACACGCGTACAGGGCATTCGCTGAACCCTTTAAGGTCATTTTTTGCGCACTGTGGCCAACCTCAGAGATAAAGATCAGCGCTGCAGTATATGCATCCCAACACATGAAAAATCCCCTGGACTCTTCCTTCTGTATAAACACTTATATTGTATCCAAATAACCATCTGAGTGCTCCTCGTGCACCAGGATCCCAGAGAGTCAAAATAAAGCGTCGTCGCCATCACCCAGGCGAGACCGTTCCAGTCCTCAAGTTACACGCTGCTTCAGCTTTTCCTATCCCTCCTTGCCAAGTTCTCCATCTACGCCAGATTGATCGAGATCTTCTTGTCCAAACCATTATCTGATGCTTAGTAAGTGTTACAGCCGATATTATAAATGTAAGTGCTCCTTTGTCTATTTTCTTTGAGTTTCCCTTCTCACTGTGAATACTAAGCAGGCAGTTGATTTGTATGCAAGGGTATGGAGGAACCCATAAAGAATGAGAAGTGCCTAAAGGAATCCCTTGATGTAATAATAATCCTTGCAGGAGTCATAGACTTCCTTTTTTATGTTCCCATACATTATTAAGAACATTTTTAGCAGAACAAATCACACAGTGCAAGAAAATATATGTACGGGTATCACAGTTAACGACAAATAAGAGGACAATCAGAAAATTACAATTAGATGATCACTTGGATAAAAAACTTAAGGTAGAGCAAGTTAACAGTGGACTCCACATAATCTAAGATTACCATCTCAGACACTAAATGACACTATTGCCTGCAGTTTGATTTGAAGTATTTGATACATTTATCACTACATGCTTTTCCGTTCACTACAGCACTTTTCTTGGTTTTTGTAACTGACTGCAAGACGACCAGAGTGAACTACATAATAATTTCTCATACAAGGAGATATTTCCCATCCAAAAGGTACTAAGATAATCCTATTTATAACATTTTTTACTGATTTTTCTTCACTGATACAAAGCCTGTGTAATTTAAAAGATAATCAGTTTACTAGGCAGAGAATTACAAAGCTATGAAGTACGTAGCTATTTGAACCATGAAACACAAGGCATTAAAAACTTGGAGTGGGATTTAATCACAGCGGTAATAAGAATTTACCCATCTGAACTTTCATGCCCAGCACTACTCATTACGTTAACAGCTTCCTTCCTACAAGCCTGATGAAATAAACGCACAGAATGATTGTTAAAAGAATAGAAGCTCTTCCTAAAATTAATTCTAAGACTAATACACATGGCTTTGTGACACATCTGCTTTAGATCCATTTTTCAGGCTTTGAAACTGTATTCCCTGTCTTGGAAAGTTCATAAAAATACAGATGCTGAAGAAAACTTTGATTGTATTTGATTGCATCTCTAAGGTATGCTTGCATCCTGAGCTCCTTCCAACACTTGACGTTGGAACAATAGGGTCTATTTCTACAATTACAAAATATATTTAAAAAAAAAGTAGTCTGAGCAGTGAAGACTGTGAAGAGAAAAAATATTAAGAGCTGAACAAAATTTTGCAAAAAAACCAAGGGAGCATATTCCTACTATTTTTATGAAGTTCCATTTAACGATGCGGAAACAGTGCTCACGACTGGTACAGGAGCTGCACAAGGCCACATCTTCAACAGCAACGAGACCGCGGCTGGAGCCCGAGTCTTCTTCAGGTCTGGGCTGCAACCGTCACAGCATGGTGGCATTTGCAACGAGTAGAGTAACCATCTAGCGCTTGTCCACTGAGCAGAAACCCCTTCAAACAGCCTCGCAAGGAAGGGAGAAGGAACCTGGCTACTGGGATTTTATTTCTCACCATGTTTGCTCATCTCATTGTTTAATGCTTTTTAGCTGAAAATTGAACACACGTTAGCAATGCTGAGCTACTACCGTGACCTAAAACTTACAGTGTATCATACAAAATGAGTTTACTACTCAGGAAGAGGTTCAAGAAATTTGAAACTTAATTTGAATTTCTCAGGTTTCTTCATGAAGAAGGATTCCTTAGACAAAACTCCTGGCAGCCCTCCTGTACCTTCTGTAATTTTCCACTTAGAGGTCTGTATTCAGGTCAAATGAGAGCTGGCTGCTGAGCGAGAGGCATGGAAATAGGTACAAGCTTGGTATACTTTGATGGAAATTAGAGGAAAAGGATTTCCCAAAAAAGTTTAGTGAAAATATTTACTAAAACCATCCAGCCATGAAAGACATGATGGGAAGTTTTCAATATATGCACATAATGACTAAAACATTATGTTTTGAACAACACTAATCACATTCCTGAACTTACTTCTGTATATGTTTTTTTTTTCCCCACTTAGTCTGAAAATACTAAATTCCTGCAACAACACAGTTACATTTTTAACCATGGAAAAAAACAGATTTGTGTACTGTTGTGCACGGTGATAGTCTGTGCTAAACAAAACTATTCCCAGAGTTCAAACTAAATTCCTGCCTGACTCTTTGTCTGCTGAGATTAGAAATGCTTTCTCTAACCATGAAATTTTACTGAAAAACAAATTACTCAACAGAATTTCATTCGAATGATGAACTTCAGAGAAATCATGGAAGATACCTCTGCAAACAAAAAAGAATCATTACCACTGAGAATTCTTCCACGAAATAACAGCTTGGCCAAAGTTACACATTTCAAAGTCAAAGAGAAGAAAACCTCTTTAAAGACTTTTTTTTCTTCAAAAAGAAAATAAATGGCCCTTCTCAAAAGTGCTGCTTTCAAGAAAAGGACCAAATTATTTTTAAAAGCTTCCAGGATACAGGAAACAAAGCTGAAAAAGTGTATTCTCTTCAGAAAGCTGAAAACTCTGCTGATGATGAAGAGCTCCTTTCCTCAAAGGGGGCATGTGTGTTTGCCTCTAGGAAACAAGTGGCAATTGCATGCCAACACAACAGAGATCCAGAAAGAAAAGGTGTCAGGTACATGTTTTATTTCCTTTCCTGAGACAGGACTGAAAGGCTATTAAATCTAATTTGCTGCTGAGACTCTGTCCTGCCAGTTTAAGCCCCCTTACCAACACTGCTAACAAGATTTTTCTTGGTCCTCTCCATCAGAATGAAACCAGCCCCGCTTCAGGTTGGTCCCCGAGAGCGAGGCCATTCCCTCATACTCCAGACGCTTGTTTGCAACTGCAGAAATCTCCGCATCTGCTGACACGTCCACCAGCAGGCTTACGCCTTGCTGTGGATCGTGGAAAGTAGCAAAGCAAAGAAAACTGCAGAAAATGATCATCCTCTCAGAGACTCACCCTTTGATGGGCCGGGGGGGAGGTCGTCGGGCTGATCAAGTCTTGACTTTCCATGAGGTTCCCATAATCGGCCATGCTTCCTTTGAGAGGCAGAGGAGGAGGAACATCGGGGATGTCGGAGTTGGACATACCATTCAGCTCCAGATCTGTAAAAATCAACGCTGAAGTTAACTCTTTCAATAACTGAATCAAATCCAAAGATCCAGACTGCGCCAATTCTTACAACGTTGATACTGTGATAATGCTGCACATGCGATATCGTTGCCTGCTCTCCACTGCCTCTATAATTATCTGCAGCCCATCTAATGAGTGATTTTAAAGGAAAGTAGAACAAATGAACCAGCCCCCGCATCGAGGGGAAGTATGCATGGTGGAATCACATTGGGCTACTTTTTAGAATATGCTCAAAATACTTGAACGATCCACTCTTTTTAATAGAACATAATTTTTACTTCAGATTTAAGACCAAAATATTCACAGCTTAACAAATATAATTTTCTCAGCTGTAAGTTCTGCATTTTCACCTTGTACATTAATACACAATGGAAGTTTTTGTAAGTGCACTAAGAAAATATAATCAAGCTAAGCTTTATTTACTATCCCCCAGTAAAAGAAAAGCTTCTTGTTAATAAAATGAACAGATGAAAGCCTGTAATTAATAACATCTCTCTCAAAAACTTTCAAACTCCAGGTAACTATAATAAATGAGCAGTCATTAGTTGTTGAGTAAATAAAATCACACAAAAGAAAGTACAAAACATTTATTATTACTCTTTGCTGGGCTGAAAGTTCCCTTTTCTCAGCAGATAAATCCTAGCAGGTACGTGCTGTAAAGGCGAATAACCTGAGGGACAATAAAGTTTATTGAAGCCTGAGTGAGACATAGGTTTTTGTGTAGAAATCCACCCACGGTGTATTTCAGGGTAATTCAGTCATTTTAACACAGGCAAAACCCACTGTGAGCTCTACGAGATAAGAAACTTAATTTATTTTTGATAAATTAGGGAAGTGTTTTCATTTAGGAAATGAAAAACGGTTATTTTTATTTTACTGGGGTGGTTTGTGAACCAAGTGGAGGACTTGTTTATGCAGATATTTTTATTGCAAGGTTCCTATCAATACCTTACAAAAAGTGTCCTTTTATTGTTCTTTAAAATGGCCTCTCACTAACACAATTTAACTGTAAGCTGGCTGTATTGATTTGTCACTGAAAAACACAATTTTAGTCTTCATCCTTTCACTTGAACTTTCAACTAGGCCAGGAAGAAGAATATTTTCCATCCTGGGACTTCAAACTTTCGGTGGCTTCTTCTACATCAGACCGAAAAGCGTTGTTTGTCCTCCAAGACCTGAATTTCTCATTGCTTTTCCCATTGCTCCTGTTTTTCATCCTTCCTTTTCTACACATACAGGATTTCTCCCAAACATTCCTAATACTTGCCTTTAAATATCTCCATCAGAATCCATTTCTGTTAAGCTCATGTCATTAAACGCGTAACTGGAAAACAATGCTACGCATCTGTAACCGAATATTCATGCTGCGAATGAACTTCCCTCGTCATTGTGTATGAATTTTCCAGCTGTACTGTACATCTAAAGATCATGGGCATTTGAGACCGTGAACCTCACAAAACAGCTCCTTGACATGCATCCTGCACGTCTCATCCACAATTACATATGGATGTGTTTGGTTTTTTCATGCAGTTTAGGATAATACTGGGAGATGTTTGGAAAATGGCATTTTCTTTACAGTTGCAGCTTTAGCTAGACCTTTAGCAGAACCTTGAATCCTGCTTCAGAAAGGGAAACCTTCTTTCGGTATTTACTGTAAACAAGCCACGTTTTTAAGTCTCACTATATACATTTGTTGGGCGGAAACTGAAAAAGAGTATAACACCACACTATTACCCAAAGATAAAGGGAATTGAGCTGCCCTGAACACTTCATCTTTGTATCTTACATGATATTACAGCATCTACTAACTTCATCTAAGCCATTACATGGAGACTAATAAGTGCTACCAAGAAGATGGTAAGACAAATTTTGTTAGTCGTGACACAAACGGTTAGTTTCTTTAAGGCTGATGTTTGGAAAGGCAGGTGAGCAACGTTTTCACTAGGGCTGCAGAGGAAACAAGGTGTGGAGGCAACTCTACTTTAACATCTGCAACACCCTGAACAACCTGGATGGTCACCAACTGCCCGTGCAGCTGTGCCCGGCTCTGCTTCGGCCCCTTTCCCCACGTTGCCCAGCTCCTGTTACAGCTCTATTTTCCGCAGCCCCCGCCGTGTTCCTACAGCCTGTACGCGGCACCTTCACAGCCTCATCCTTCTGCAAGGCGGCAATAAATCCCTGTGAATGTGGACAGAGCATTTCCATCCACATGAATAGTTCATAACGTATATTAACAACGTATTTGCATTCAGTCTGGCAAACTATTTAGCAGAACAACAATATTCTATAGTGACAAAAATTATTTGCCCTGACTAGCTAATCTCTCACACAGTTTAATGAAATCCAGGAGTCTTCGCCCCTACTGCAGAAACAGGTATTGAACACAAACTTCAGTAATTTTCAGTAGTGTTTCAAGATCTGTTTGCTGCAGATCTGTTAATTTTCTCCTGCTCCATTCAGCTGAACTATACCTCACTAACTCAGTCACTATACAAATAATTACTCATCATTTCTGGTTTGCTATCATTATTCAAGGTGTTTCATCGGACTAGCGTGCTCTGAATATTTGTTCCTTACTGGACATGTGCCACTGAGAATATCTTTGAGCTGGCAAGAGATCAGTTAGATATCTTTTTTCTCATCTTAATGATCAAATTTTACACTCCATTCTCCTAAACTGCCAGCTAACAAGCAAGCAGTATGGCTTAGCAACCCATTAACTGCTTTTAGCCAATTTGTGCACTGAAGTAACTTCTTTATCCTTGGAATTCCTAAAAAAAAAAAAGATCACTACAATTCCTCAAACGATTATGGACAAGCCCCATGGATGCTGCAATAAGCTGAACCTGTTTTACATAACACCCATAAATCTCCACCACGTAGACACAAATATTCTCAGAAATAGATGATAGCTTCAGATATTTTTTATAAAAAGAGCTCAAAGTTTTACTGAAATGTACACAGGAAAAAATAATCCAATTCCAATAATATCTTTTGCAGGGCTGTATATATACTCTACTTCTCTGCATTTCCAGTTTTTAGCATACTGGTATTTTTTGGCTATCAAAACTGTAAAGAAAGGAGAGCGTTCACCGTTGTCAAAATACTTGTTTTGGGTGTTTGACCATAAAAAGGAAACACTGCATCGATTTGCACTTGCTTACCCTTCTTACACATGTTTGCAACCAACAATTTCAAATTAAAACAAACCCACATGCCTTTTAGAAAACAATTCTGTTGCTATAGATTTGTAGAATAAACACGTTCCTGCTCACAGGACATATATCTGCAACTGGCAACAAGAACTTTCCAAAACACTCACTATTTAAGAGAAAAGGTTTTAAGTATCAAAAGAAGTTAATAAAACATTGACCTTTCAAGAAAAAACCAAGATTTTTTTCTTAAAACTGATCATCTATTCTACTTTTTATTAACACTGAACTCTTGAGTATTGTACTAGCATTTGGGTACATGTATCTGAAAGATTTTTTTTTTTTTGCCACATCCTAGCAACTGAAAACTCTGAGTAACAGGTTTTGGAAAACAGCACTGTAAAAGAAACAGGTGTTGCATTACACCCAGGTTTTCGATAGGGTTTCCTGAAGACTGAAGCAAACGATATTTTGCAGAAATAACAGAATACTCAGAAAAACTGAGTGATAGATGTCAATGTCAAACAAAAAACACATCAAAAAGACTGACTTCTTTTTTCCTTCCGGCTTGTACTCGCGTTGTAGCAAATGAAAGTTCTTTTAAGGTACAATTACATTAAAAGATTATTTTTTCAGCCTTTATGCTCCAAATTACCCTCAATCCAATACAGAATCAAGTACAACACTAATTTCTGACAGCTACTCTATACCTAAGTAATTGTTAATGATTACTTGAAACGGAAAAGAAACTTTTTCAGTGCAACAATTTTGCTTACTTTTGTAAAATACTGAAATAATTTTTGCTGGCAAATGCAAGTAGCATCATGTTAAGAGGTAAGTTCTTGTTCCTGCAAGCAATCCCATGGCGATGGCAAAGAGACTGACTCGAAGAACTCAAACCAAGGTGTATTGCAATGCTCAGGAAACACATCTCCCCAGTAGAAGCTATTTTGCATAACATTTGCTAGGAAAAGAAAATTTGGTTAAAATTAAAAGACTTACTGGACTGTATGTTGAAAGAAAGTTTTGTCCGTGGAGTTATTGGGGGTGGAGTCACTTGGGAGCTGGGAGGTGATGGAGAGACGGAGAAACGTCTTTCACTTGAAATGACGTTTATGACTTGGCTTTTTGGTCTCTGTGGTCTTAGTGGGCTGATCTGCACAGAACAAAACCAGTGAGACAGTAAAGGAATACAAGTTGTTACTGAGTGGAAGACCTTGGGATTGCTACATTTTCCTCACTACCTCCTGAACAGTTACAGGGCAATGATAGCATACGATACTCTGATTTAATGCAGTATTTCACAGCTCCAAATGTTTTTCCCTTCTCCTGAGGAATCACAATGAGACTTAATGCACACACCTTCCTGTAGCCTGGCATATTTTTCTTAAGCAATGTGCCAATTCCTCAAACACTTGCTTAACAACAGTTAAGGAAGTCTATATCCTTACACAAGATTATACAGCATTCAAAATCTTGTCTTACTTCTCATGCAGCTCTATTTCCCTGTTAAAATTTAACTTTTTAATTGTTTGCATGGTGAAACTCTCTTCTGAGGAAGACATCATCTGTCTGGAAACACATGTTTGTGGTTATATTTAATTCACTGAAATATCCCTATAGTTTTGCTCTGGCTGCTTCATAGTCCATTTAAATTTTCCATCAGAAACCCTGAAATGATACTTGTAATCTGATGGGCAACTAATGCTTTTGTTAAGGTGACTCCTTTTACCGAGTTTAATTTTGAGCTCTACTGTTTGTTACCCATCCAACAGCCCCCATATTTCTAGCAATTGCAGTGATGAAAGGAATTTTTTATTTCCAAGAGATCACAGAAAATGGAGCAGCAGCCTGAAGTTAAGAGGGGAATTACATCCAAGGTGCTGCATTACGACAAAACAGAAAATGCCAGCAGCAGTTCAGACTTTTTCAGATAATTTTGTCATTTCACAATGTTTTTTCAAAAAGTATGTTTTTTAAAAAGCTGTGAGTGCTTCCTTTTATTTTCAGAAAACAAACCCTAAAAGGGTTTGCATAAAAGGCTGTGTCTCTGAGACCCTTCTACGACAAACGAATAACCATGAAGTATGTAAGTTTATTTTGAAAGTTCATCAAGACCTCAGAATAACCTTTCAGAAATTTGCCTGATACTAAAATTCAAATCTTAAAGACTCCAAAGGTTTCTTCTTTCAAGACCTTTTAAAGCATATTTTTGGTAGAATGGATAAGCAAAGTAATCCCTTTCTCAGAGGCATATGATTATAAAAAAGCAACTAAGGGAAATACACTAACTGATTAGGAAAGCTACAATGTCAGAATCAAGAGAAAACCCAAAAACTAGAATCAAGTTCCCAAGTTAACTTGGTCTGTAGTTACTTATCTCAAGTAAATTTTAAAAACTTCTGTGATTGACAAGCTTGGTGCTCTTCTTAAAGCTTCATATAAATCACAGTTCTGCTAGGGAATATGAACTCTTTGGAGACCACTAATCCATAATGAACCCATTGCTAGGATTTTTTTGTCTAATGAAAGCAGGATCAATAGTGAGTGACGTGAGATGCCACTAAATCAATAAAATGTACAGCCTGTTATTCTGATTTCTAACACAAGCTTTTGAGCGGTCTGTTAACTACCAGGCTTCAGTGTTAGATTTGCTATCAGCTCATGGAATCAAAGAACTAACAACGAGAATTTATGTTAAAGAAGTTTATGTGATACTTCAAAGAAGATACAAATCTCTGGAAAACTATAAAGACATTACTGATCACCTTCACATACCAAAGTGCTTAATTTATCTTCTGATAAGATCATAGTAGTACAAGACCTTTGTAATTAGGGCTTCTGTTTTGATCAGTCAATAAATTCATCATGAGTACAGTGAAATTTGGAAAAAAGTATTTAAGCCATACAACTAGACAAAATGGCCTCTGAATGCTCCTTTTTAAAGAAAATGTAAAAGCTCCATGAAATAATTCTGCAGGTTTATAATCTTCCCACATTCTTCCATGATGATGCATTTGACTGGAAAAAAAGAATCTCCTATATAGGAAAATCCATCACAACGATGGAAACGCCCAGTTCATTAGACAACATCATCTTTCAAAAGAGTAGCGGAAGCTCTGCAGAGATGGGAATGACCACTGTCTGACATGCCTGCTACGCTTCTCACTTGATTTTCTCTGGAAATTTGGTATCATGCTTGCAATTACGTTGCACAAACGAATTAGCAGCGAATAACACAGGATCCAGGACAGATTCAGATATAAGGCTATTGATGCATCCTTCCCTCGTGAAAGCAAACCACCGATAACTACCTGTTCGTAGCGGGTGAAGAATAATTTAGAATACGAGTGTTGTCAGGCAACAGAGAATTGTGTGTGAGTATGTGCGTGGGGCTGAACGTCTGAAACGGGACTTTCGAACCGTCAAGCACAAGCCTGCTACCTGCCAGCTGCAACTGGCACGGGCTGGTTGTACACTGCGATGACACCTTGAATGAACTAAAAGTGACACACACCGAATCCTCCTATTAATGAATAGGCGTGAGACAGAGCCAGTGATTAAGCGGCCAACAACGTGCTGTGCTTCTGAACGTAGATGCTGTTGACACATCCCACTACCCAAATGCACCACGAGTTCTCATTTACCCTGTCTCACACATGACAATATTGAGTGCAGTTTTTCCAGGCTGCTATGTATCCTTCAGCATCACCTTCGAGCAGGCTTCATCACCCAGCCTTGCTCATGAGAACACCGTGTGAGATGTTCCGAAAATCACACCGAAGTCAGCACACGGGCTCTGCGACATCATGCCTACCCACACAGCCTCCTCCTCTATTGCAGAAAGAAGGGGGAAGGGCTTGACTGATCTGGTGTTGACAAATCCAAGCTGGCTGTTATTCGTTCATTCGTTTCCTTGAAGGTACTTATAAATGGTCACCATACTAAAGAAAAGCGTATCTTCTGCTGTAAAACTGCCAAATATTTTAGAAGTCAGAACTAAGAATCCATTAGAAAATTCAGCAAATAGCTGAAATCTTGTAACTGGATTAGCGATGGTACAAGTGAGTTCAAAAATTCTCAACAGAAGGAATCCAGTAACTATAATACAATATCTAGTAACTAATAGTAGTTTACTACTAAAATCTCACTTTAAAAGCTCTTTGAATCTTTATTTTAATTTCTGTTTCTGGTCAAATCCGGATTCCAAATTTTTTGGAAGAAAAACAATACTAAATTTTTCCCCCTTCCATTTCATCATCATCTTTTTTTTTAAGCTAGCAAAATTTCTGCTTTCAAACTCCTAATGCAAGAGAAATCAAAATGACTTTTTCATCATAAAACACAGCAGTAACAGTGCTTTGGGAGCAATTTCAACCTAAAAAGGGAACTTGCACACAGTGCAGCCCACAAAAGTAGAACAATGGAAAAGCTGAATTCTTACTCACAAAAGATAACAATTTCCCTTTTATATCATTAATAGGAGGCATCTGTCTCCAGAGTGCAAAAATTTCAAGACAAAACAAATTTTATCTTTAAACTGCTTGACATTATCTGTACAAAATTCCTGAAGACAGCAGTGGGAATTGTACAGCTACTCTTGTAAACTAATCTCAGAAGTGTTTCTCTATTTCATCTACAACAGAAAATGAACCACACTACCACCAAGCATTAAAAATTGACTTGGTCCTTTTTGAGCTCCTCAAGTTTGCAGATACTGAAAAGGGAGAATTTTTCTCTCACAAGTAAACTCCTTTTCAAATTATTGATCTGTGGATTTCAAGAATCTCAGAGTAACTGTAACTAACTAATTCTGACGTTTAATTTCCCTCCCTCTCTATAACCAGGGGAAAATTAGTCATACCAGTCATCTGCTGTAGAGCGGAAAACTTGAGTCAAAGCATGAGGCTTTGCTCATTTTTGTTCCTCAGATTACAAATGGAAATATGCCTTGAAGGGTTATCATGTCCTCCTTTCCAGCCAGCATTTGCATTTTTCCAGTCATAAGCAATCTTCTCCAACGTCCAAGATCCCTCAGAGATGACAGCGACCTTGCAGTGACATCAATCAGCTCTCCAGCATCCTTGGACACCTCCCATCTGGTCTCATGGTTTTGTGCAAGTCCAACCGACTGAGGTGCTCCAAAATACAATTTTCCTCTTCTGTGACTAATGTTCTTCTCCCACAAACTCTGATAGTCTGTCTGGGGATCTGGGAGATGGGAGTGCAAGCCTTGCCATTGCAATGTTGAGGCTTAGTCAAAATACGACTGCTGCAATGTGCCTAATATGTCCAGAGTTGAATGCATTGCGTCAAAAAGATCAGGCGCATGGAAATCTATGCGAAATGTATTTTGCTGTCTGAAAACACTCTAGTGATGCTCACCTGACTGGCTTTGGCAAGAGGAATCTCCATTTAAAAAACACAAGGTTGATCCAAAATTGACTGAAGTCAATGGAAAAACTCACTGGCTTCAAAGAAGTTTGGGTGAGAGACCTGGGACGAACAAAAGGGATTTTACCTGAGTTTTTGCCGAGTTAATTCTGGGCCAAAGGCCACATCAGACAAAACAACTCTGATGTTCCAAGGTGTCAGAAGACACAGCTGAGAGATTAGCTCATCTCAGGATGGAAAACTGGGAGCAAATCCAGAAAACAGAGGAACTATCGCTGAACATCTAAGTAATATTCCACTACAAATACCAAACAAAGACTTAAAGGATCTAGTCTTGACAGGTCAGAGAGAAATCGTTTCGGAAGTCCACTGGAAATGACACAGCCACCAGCAACAGTCTCTACCAAGTTAACAGTTGGCTCTACAAGCACTTGTGCAAATCTTTAAGATCATTACACTTCTTTCTGGAGGGCAAGTTTTAAACTATTGGCCTCAAAACAGGTGTCCAGGCAGAGATTTGGAGGTTAGAGTTAGTTCATGCACTCCCTGCTCCAGCTTAAAATGGCCTTGCTTTCAATTTCAGACATAACTTTTAATAACGTCTCAAGTTACCTAAGCCTTTAGGACAGTTTCAGTGAATTAAATATATGCCAAGAAGAGAGGGCTTAAGAGAGATATGCCCTGTAGTTAATATTCTTATACACAGCCACCAGTGGAACTGCTTATGATTTTCTGCCCAAAATAGCCTTTCACAAGTACGTAACTGCCATGCACGAAATGACCTTGTAACATTTCCACCAAAAAGTGTCTTGCAGGACTCAGCTGAAATATAAGAAAACCCATCACGATCTATTGGGAATCATAAATTCAAAAGGCTGTTAAAATGGTAGCATTTATTTTAGTTAGGATGTACCATCTATTCCTTTCATCAAATAGTCATATATAGCTTTCGGTTAAGATTTTCATATGAGATACCGTGATTTTGTTACACTGTAAATAAAATCTGTATTTTTGATTCATCATCACATCTATTAACATCGTAGCTTATTCCCTTAGAGTTATTTTTGGTCTAAAAATAAACTAAATCATAAAAATCAACATTTTTATTTAAAAAGAGAAAGAATGCTGCTCAGAATTAGATAAAGCATTACTTGCTAATAAAGTTACCGTTTCTGAAAGGATCACTGCTTCAGACTGCTGCAGAGAAATATCAGTGGATTTAAATTCTTTATCAAATATCTCTTGATGCTTGCTGTTCCTTTTCTCCTTCTTCTTTTCTTTCTTATCTTTATCTAGGTCATCCTTGTCCAATTTATCTTGAGACCTAGAATGCATCTTTTTTGGCAGGAGGGGCTCCAGCACAAACCTAAAGAAAATTGTTGTTGCTTAGATCAATAAAATACTATTTTCAAAACAGCTGATTTTAATTTACATATTTCCCAAAGTCTCACTTGAGTTAATGATGCTTTGCTAATCCAGAAAAACTCATTAGAGAGAAAAGGAGGGGGCAGAAGGTCGTAACAATCATAATTGTCTTACAATAAAATTTACTGCAGAACTGCTGAAGAACCAGTTCTGCATATTTCCCTCCTCTGTAGTAAATTTGCTGGTTTACAGCTACACAGGCTCCTGAATTTCACTGTCTGTGGTTTACATAAAAATGAGGTTCTAATTCAGCACTCCCACTATATATGCTGGGGCAGCATGGCAGGCGTGCCAGCAGACGCTGGGAAACTCCAGTGGAAATCAGCACTACACCAGTGCAGGTAGCTGCACGATGCATTAAAGAAATGTCACCCCAATATGTCTACCAAGTCCATATGTCTACCAAGGGCTTTAAGGACTTCTTTAAAATAGCCATGTACCCAGATTCTTCCTGGACAATTTTTTTTTTTTTTTGGTGGAGAAAGAGGATTTATTTATTTCCCAGAGAAGGAATAACAGTTGAGAAACTGTTTTGCAAAGGTGTAGTGATTGTTGAACATGCACAACATAAAATGCTTTATAATCCTTGTAACTCACCAAAATTACATCACAGAGATGCAAACAATACCACCCTTAATGCAAAGGAAACACCTATACGTTGCACAAAAGCATGAGGTATAGAGGTTTAACCACAGACACAAGTACTATTCCCGTCCCTAATAACACACCGTGTGTGTGTACGTTTGGTTTTGCGTGCAAGCATGAGGTTATATATATCTCCGTAAGAACGTGCACACATATAGTGGCAGATCCACACTTCTGCTCCCCTGCAGCATGCCCTGGGGTGGGGCAGCCAGGAGAGCTGAGCTTACTTGCTCTGATCCCACAGATAACCTCAAGAATGAAGAATCAGTTGGACAATAACAAAGGGCAAGGTTAGTTTCCAAAAAGCAGATGTATTTTCCCACGTGGAATGCTTCAAGGATGTGAATATAGGCAAGGCTGATATACTACCACCATCAGCTCTGCAATTTTTACACTCCATGACTATTTTTTTTCTGTCTACAAAGGAAAAAAACCTTTAGGGGTTCAATGAACTTTTAAAGGAAAAGTTCATTTTTGTAAA